AATAAAAAATCTGGACTGTTAGCATCTGGTGAAATAGAGTTTCCTCTCTGATTAAGTTCAAGTCCTCATCATTCAATATCTGTGTGATTTTTGGCAAATTATTTAATCTCTCTGATTTTCAATTGCTTTATATGTTAAAAAAAGTGAGAATATCTTCTACTTCAATGGGTTAAATGAGAAAAAAGATGTGTAAGCATGCTACATTCTAGAAAATTCCATATACACTTAAAGCATTATCATTATCATTCTTAGGAAAGCTTAACCAGTGGTCCTGATCACACTATGAACCTAAGAACAGCACAGAGGATGATTCCAGGCACTACAGGGGTAAATCAAAAGGCCCGCTCAGAGTTTTGGCTTGCATCCAATTTTAATAATTTCTCAGGATTTGTTCTTTTGCTTAAAATACCCTTAGTCCTGGAGACTCTTCCATTTCAGATTTTCAAATTGGATCAGGTTAGGGTGGGGATGAGAAAGAAGGGACACACCCATACTCAGGGAAAACTCCCAAATCCAAAATAAGCATAAAACCACATACAAATACTCCCTAGAAGACCTTTATTTGTGTTGAAATGGGTGAGGTTCCTGGATGGCACTGAGCCTCACTTGCTAGTTATTTGTCTTGCAGGAGGCTTGTCAGGTGCCACCTGGCACTGAGGGGCAACCAGCCTCAGTGTCCCTTCCATCTGTGTAACTTCAACATCATCTACCCTTACCAACCCCACTTTACYACATCTATGGTGAATTTGCAATACACACTAGGATGATCTCCACTCTGCTCACACAAAGAGCTCACCCCTTGGAAGCAGGCATTATTTGGTGAGAGTCCATTAGTGTTTATTTTATATGGCCTCCCATGGAGTCACTGTGTGCATCTCCCTGTACACAGTAGACCCCTGGAGGGCAGGTGCCATGTCACATTGATATTTGTCACTCTCCCCTCTGGATTATAGCAGGCCCTCAAGATATGTTCATATTAGTGAATTAAACTCTTCCTGTAACCTCATTTACATTTTCCAAGTGAGACATGAAAGGGCCTTGCACATCCATAAGCACATTTGTTCTTCACTAAGGTATCCATTCATTCATTCAACACAGAGTGACTCATCATATGGCAAGCACTGTGCAGAAGAAAGTGATTCGTAATGATGCATGCTCTTAGCAGAAATTTGTACAAAGGGCAGCAAAAGCAGAGAAGCAGGCTAGTTTGTTTATTTATTTTTGGTACTAGTGATTGAACCCAGGGGAGCTTAACCACTGAGCCATATCCCAAGACATTTAAAAAATATTGTATTTAGAGACAGGGTCTCACTAAGTTGCTTAGGGCTTCACTAAGTTGGTGAGGCTTTGAACTCGTAATCCTTCTGCCTCAGCCTCCTGAGCCATTGGGATTATAGGCGTGTACCACCATGCCTGGCCAGCAGGTTAGTTCTTAGTTATACTTTTGGAGGTTGCAGAGATGGCAAAGGCTAAAGGAAATGCCACTTCTGCTGGCCTTGAAGAATGATCAGGAAGTCACTGGGGAGGAAAAAGGAAGAGCAGCAGCATCCTGGATGAGAGCAGCATGAACAGGAGGAGGAGAAAGGCCAGAATGTGCAGGGCTGGTGTTTTGGAGTGGGGAAGGGCAAATGAGGCCAGAAACAGGGCTAAGACAGTGCAAGAAAAGCCTGAATGCCATGCTGAGAATGGATTCATGTATCCTATGGGTAGCAAGGACCCAGCTCAAGCTAGACAGAGTGGTACATGCCTGTAATTGCAGCAATTTGGGAGAGCAAGATTGGAGAATTAAAAGTTTATGAAGCCTTGGCAACTTAGTGAGACCCTGTGTCAAAATAAAAAACAAAAAGGACTGGGGATGTAGCTCAGTGGTAGAGCACTTGCCTAGCATGCACAAAGCCCTGAGTTGGAGCCCCATTACAGAAGAGAGAGAGAAAGAGAGAGAAGAAAGTTAAAAGAAAAAAGAAAGTTCCAGCCAGGAGACACACATTACCCACATTCTGAATGCATGAAGCGTCTATTCAACCATGAGGGGATGTCTCTGAGTTCCAGCTACTCATCACTTCCCCAAGTTGCTGATCTGGGCCTGAGTGAAGGGACTGAGAGTCAGGTAGTTAGAAAGCTCAGAGTCCATACACTGTAAGGATATATGGCCATGGATGGGGATTAGCAGCATCACCACCCTACATGCTTCCAGGGAAACCTGGGCTGCCTCTTGGTCATGGGAAATGTTCAGACTAAGCCCAGGAGCTAGATACCAGCCCAGGCCCTACCAGCAGTTCCACCTAGCAATCAATCTCAGCTCTCTGCTGGGCAATTGAGAACTGCATTAGCAGAGTACGTTTCCTTAGCCTATCAGATCCCAAAACACTAATGAGTTGTCTTCTCTTTTCCTCTATTCTGGGAAGGGGAATAACAATAACAATTATTATTACAGTGCACATATTCCATATTCAGCACTTCATGCCTCTTCTCTCTGTTACAACAACTCTGCCAGGTAGCTGTTGTTATTTGCAACAAAAATGTGTTGCATCCAAGAAGAAAAACTGAGGTTCAGATGTATCCTGGTACATGGGAGTGAGGAGCAAAGTCCCACCTGGCTGACTCCAAGCCAGCCCGCCTGCACCACATGATCTGCCACGGAAGCAAACCAAACACCATGAACCTGTTTCAGTATCAGGCCTGAGGGCTCCAGCAAGAGAAAGACAAAGGAGCCCATTTTGAGACCGTCTTCTGGAGCCAGCAGACACAAGAAAACAACAAGTTAATTGTCCAAGGGAAGGAGACCCAGGTGCAGTTTAGGCAGAGCATTTCCTGTTCAGTGTATCACCACCCTGAAGTCCAAGGCCTGCCCAGGCRTCACCCTCCTGTGTGATCCCAACTTTTACTGACACCCCAGAGAAACATTTTCTAAATTCAAAATACTGTGATAATCAACATAACAAGGGGGGACTTGCTAAGGGGATTCACAGCAGGTCACCCTGTGAGGCAGGGTAAGAGCTGGGGCAAGAACCTATGTGAGGGAACTGAGCCCACACCTTGGCACAGCAGTGAGACTACGAGCATGCCATAGCTTCTCTGGGCCAGTCCCCCACGCCAGAACTTGCATGTCATTCTGGACCTTGCCCTTTCCCTCATCTCCGCATTGAATTAGGTACCAAATCAATCCTCAGTTTGACCTCTGCAATAGATCTTTTTTAAAATATATATTTTTAGTTGTCAATGGATCTTTTATTTTATTTATTAATTTATATGAAGTGCTGAGGATCAAACCCAGGGCCTCACACATGCCAGGCAAGTGCTCTACCACTGAGCCACAACCCCAGCCCTGCAACAGATCTTGGATCCATCCTTCCTCATGTCTCACCCAGATTATCAGCCTGCTAGCTGGGCCCCCAGCTGCCAGGCCATCCCCATCCTATCCATACTCCAGCCAGAGGGATGGCTCCAAAACACACCCTTGCTCACCTGGCCTCTGTATCTCTCAGGGTAAAGTGCAACCTCCTTGGCTTAGCTCCCACTCCTTTTGTCTGCCTCCTGCCCCTCTCCTGGCCTATTTCCCAGCCACTTAGCACATATTCCCTTTGCCTGTACTTCCCTAAGTGAACTGTGCAGTTTCATGATGTGTAATCTGCTGGCCTCTCTTCCTCAGAAGGGCCTTCCCCTCTGCTAACACCTGTGAGTCCTTCAGGACACTCAACTCAAATACCATCTCTTCTAGGAAGCCCTCTCTGATACCCCAGTCTTAGGTATATCCTCATTTGGATCCCCAGTGCCCTTGTGCTTCTCTCTATCATACATTTAGAGCCATTGATCTATCTTCTGTACTAAGCCATGACAGGCCTCAGGTGATTTTGCATCTCAGCAATATCCAGGCATCCAGGAGAGAGCCGGGTAAAAGGCCACAGGGATTTTTGGATGGAAGGATGAATGGGCCTCCTTCCTAGAAACATGGGTCTGACCACAAGTTCAAAGACCTTTATTCGTTAGGTATCTGCAAGGCTCATCAGATGTCTGTGTGACTGAGGTCAGTTACTAAGGAACAGATCCTTCTACTTTGACCACATTCTTTCTTCATGAAGTTCTATGTGGTCAGAGTGAACTTTATCAACTCTCAATGCCAGTTACCACAAATGATCAGTGGGCTCTGGAAGCAGTTTATGTCCAGTGTTTGGGGTCAGATGGAAGAGGGCAGCCAGTGGTCCCTGGGCTCAAAGATTTATAGTCTCTGGTGGAGGAATGCTGGAGGCTGCACCGTGCTCCCAGGGACCAGAGAGGCAGCCAACTTTAACAATTCTCCAAACCCTCCACCCACTCAGGACAGAGCTCTTTGTTACTGAAAAGTTCAATCTTGTGAAATGGGTTTGGTTTTAAGTTTCCTGTCATTGGTCTACTTATTTAAAATCTATGTCCTACCTGACCCCTGGAAGAGAAAAGGTGCCTGTAGTTGATTAAGAAGCTTCTTGAAGTCAGCCCTAATTTGCAGAAAGTCTGATAGATGAAATGATTCTGAAGAGGTGGACACTTACCATGCATCATTTCAGGGTTTCAATTATTTAATTAACTGATTGATTTTTATTTTACTTATTTTTTTAACAGTGCTGGGGATTGAATCCAGAGCCTTGTGTATGCTAAGCAAGTGCTCTACCACTGAACTATATCCCTAGCCCTCAGGATTTCTTTCTTTTTTTTCTTTTTGGTTTTTAAAGTGCTAGGGATTGAACCTGAGGCTGTTCTACCCCTTTGCTACCAGCCCCTTTTTATTTTTGAGACAAGGTCTCACTACATTGCTCAGGCTGACCATGAGCTTGCAATCTTCCTGCTTTAGCCTCCCAAATCACTAGGATTATAGGAGAGTGACACTGTGCCCAGCTGCCCTCAGTTTTTGAATTTTAAAGTAAGGGAAGAGAGCCAAGTGGGCACTGGGCCCCACCTGGCAATGACATTGGGAGGGACTGGACCCCTTTTCCCTATGCTGATTTTCCTTTATTCCCCTTACTGACCTTAAGATCAAAGTGAGCAATTTTCTTTGTATGAAGGTAGTTCACCCCATCCAGGATCTGCTTAATGAAGCTGGTGGCTTCCTCCTCACTCAGCGACTCCTTCTGGGCCAGGAAATCAAACAGCTCTCCACCAGACACTCTGCAAGACACCAGCAGGAAGGGCCCAGGCCCGGTCAGCCTTGAGTGTCATGAGGCCAGGTGGATGGGTACACCCTGCACCTGACCCCCAGGCATCCTAGAAGGCAGAATCCCCCTTGCCCTGCCTAGGATCTTGTCCAAGCAACATCAAACACTGGTTGCTGGATTCTTTCTTTTGGGGGTCAAGGGCACAAATCACCCTGAGGATATTGCCAGAAAGGTCTCTGCTGACACTTAGGCCCAGGTCCCTGGTTATCCTGGCAGTTACCATCTTCTCTGTATGACTGATGTGGCAGAGAATGGAAAGAAGCATTGGGGAATGATGCTATGGTCTGAATACCTGTGTCCCCCCCAAATTCATATTTTGAAATTCTAACTCCCAAGGTGATGATATTGGGAGGTGGGGCCTTTGGGGAGTGATTAGGTCATGAAGGTGGAGGCCTCATGAATGGGATTGGAGCCCTTATAAAAGAGACCCCCCAGAAAGCTCATTCATCTCTTCCACCTAGCAAGGGTACAGGAAAGATGCTATCTATGAGGGAGTGAGCCCTTACTAGACACCAAATTTGTTGGTGCCTTGATCTTGGGCTTTCCAGCCTCCAGAAGCATGAGAAATAAATTTCTGTTTAAATAAACCACCCAGTCCATGTTGTCATGAATGGGTTACAAATGGTGATTTTGGTGAGGGCTTGGAAGGACAGGAGGAGATTCTTGGTCTTGTAAGAGAATAATGCCTTAGTGGTCATGAATAGAATGTTAGTAGGAATATGGAGGGTAAAGGCCATTCTGATGAGGTTTCAGATGGAAATAAGGAACAAGATGCTGGGCAATGAAGAAAAAGTCAAAGTAGCCAAGAACTTGGCTGAATTTTGTTTATATGCTGTGATTTGTGGAAGGTTGAATGAAGAAATTAGATATTTGGCTGAGAAAATTTCTAAGTACAATGTTGAAAGAGTGACCTGGTTCCTCTTGACTGCTCACAGTAAGTAAAAAAAGAGAAATGTTTTATCTTTTTAATTTCAATCTTTATCTTTTTAATTTATTATTTATTTTATTCTTAGTTATTTTTTTTTATTTTATTTTTTTTTTGTAGCACTGGGGATTGAATCCTGCAGTGTTCTACATCTAAGCTACATTGCCATCCTTTATTTTTTTTTTTTGAGGGGGGTGGATTGAACTCAGGGGCACTTGACCACTAAGCCACATACATCCCCAGCCTTATTTTGTCTCACTGAGTTGCTCACCCTATCTTACAAATTTTTATTTTACAGTACTGAGGAATAAACCCAGGGGTACTTTATCACTATACCTGCAGCCCTTTTTTATTTTGATACAGAGTCTCTCTCTAAGTTGCTTAGGATACAACTAAGTTGCTAAACCTGGCTGTGAATTTGGGATCCTCCTGCCTCAGCCTCCTGAGTTGCTGGGATTATAGGCATGTACTACCACTCTCAGTTTGCCAATCCTTTTTTTAAATTTTTGTTTTGAGACAAGGTCTTGCTAAGTTGCCCAGGCCAGCCTCCAACTTGCAATCCTCTTGCCTTAGTCTACTGAGCTGCTGGGATCACAGACACATGCCACTGTGACCAGCTGAGAAATATTTTAAAGATGGAATTGTTTATCAAAAAGACAAGATAACTTAAAAGTGGGAAAAATTCTCAGCCTACTCCATTGGGGGTAAAAAATGAGCAAACCTGTTTAGGAGAGAACAAAGGTGTGGCCAAGGATTGCTCATAAAGAGATTAATCTGGATCAGCCTTGTCAAGGGAAGCCAGCTGCTACTCATCAAGACAATGGGGGAGATTAGTCAACCATCTAATCTAATAATAATAGGGAGATTAGTCAATCTACTGTCCCAGACAATGACAGAAAGACCCTGAAGTCATTTCAGGGATCATGGAGGGAAAAGGGGGCTGCCCCTCCCATCACAGACCCATAGTGCCAGGGCCTGGGGGATAAAACCACCAAAGGAGGGCTCACTACCCAGAGCTGCCTCATAGGGTGGGCTCTCCAACTCTATCATCATCACACACTTCAGGTGTGGTTCCCAGAGGAGCCCTACTGCGGGCTTTGTGTGAAGCAAAGTCACGTGGGTATGGCTGCCTCCACCTAGGTTTCCCTGGAATGGGAGTCCTTGAGACTTCAAACCAACATGAGCCACAGGTGTGCTTCCTGCCAGGAGAATCCTTGAGAACTGAGGCATGGGCTGTGCATAGCTAAAGCACGAGGGCAGGGCCACCCAAAGCTGTATGGACAGGACCTCTGTCCCAGAGGGCCTGAAGGGCAGAGCATTAAGCCAAAAAGTACTCTGGAGTCCCAAGTTTTAGACTGACTCAGAACCTGTCACTCCCACCAGGCGCAATGGTGCACGCCTGTAATCCCAGAGGCTCAGGAGGCTGAGGCAGGAGGATCGTGAGTTCAAAGCCAGCCTCATAATTTATCAAGACCCTAAGCAATCTAGCGAAACCCTGTCTCTAAATAAAATATAAAAAAGGGTTAGGATGTGGCTCGGTGGTTAAGCACCCCTGGGTTCAATCCCCAGTACAAAAAAAAAAAAAAGAACCTGTCACTCTTTTCCTCTTTCCTATTTCTCTTTTTTGGAATGGTAATGTCCATCCCATGCCTGTCTCACCATTGTATTTTGGAAGTATATAACACATTTTATGTCACAAATCCATAACTGGAAAGCAATTTGCCTCAGAATGAATCATACCTTGAGTCTCACCATAACTGATTTAGATGATATTTAGATGAGACTTTGGACTTTAAACTTTGTAGTTGCTAGGAAAGCACTTCAGTGTTAGAGCATTGGCTTAGCATGTGTGAGGCCCTGGGTTCAGTTTCTGGCACCAAAGTAAACAAACTTTGGATTTGATGCTGGAATCAGTTAAGAATTTAGAGACTGTAGAGAGCCAGCTGTGACCCTGCTCTGAGTTACTCCACGTAGTATGGAACAGCAGTTTTCAGCTCGTGCCTAACCCTGAGTTACTCTGGAGTTAGCCCTGAGTTATGAAGCAGCAGTTTGCCCTGAGTTACTGCATTTTGAGTCAAGTGCTAAGGCAGCATGACTTGGTAATGTTCCTGGTCAAACTGCTAATCCACTAGGTGTTGGACATATAGAACTTACAAAAAAAGAACAACCCCAAGCTACACAGCACAATCATAAGGCACAAACTGATGAATAGATTAATTGTACTAATAAAAAAATGACCACCTATGAACTTCTCAAATTAAATCAGAGGCAGATGGATGTATGAGTGTATCAAAGCTTCTTCAGAGAAAATAGGTTCATGAGCTTATCAAACACACTAGACCACCAAATGATTCAACTCTCTTACCTGAAGCATACAGGGAAGGACCCCTAAGACAGGACACACTGGTCCTTTACCCCATCACCTTGTCAGACCACTTGACAAGTTCCTTGAACAAGTTCTGAGCCCTCAACAAGTTCGTAGGCTGGTTCTTAATCTCCTCTGACCATCTGCAGTAACGGTTTTGCCTCTGTGCCTGCTCTCTGCCTTTGCTCTCAGTGCTACCTCTTTAACACTGTGGCTACATTAACTCTTTCTTAGCTGTTCAGTAACCTATTGATCATTGTATGAAGTATGTGTGTCTTGAGTAATATAATTAAGATTGGAATGGAATAAAAGAATCCATGCAGCTGGGTGTGGTGATGCACCAGGTAATTCCAGCTACTTGGGAGGCTGAGGCAGGAGAAATACAAATTTGAGACCAGCCTGAGCAACTTAGTAAGACCCTGTTTCAAAATTAAAAAAAAAAAAAATTTAAAGGGTTGGGGATGTAGCTTCATGGTAGAACATTCTGGGTCCAATCCCCAGTACCATACATGAGGAACAGAAAGAAGAAGAAGAGGAGGGGGAAATAGTTGGGTGTGGTAGCATATACCTCTATTCCCAGCAAATAGGGAGGCTGAGGCAGGAAGATTTCAAATTTGAGGACAGCCTCAGCAACTTAGTGAGAACTTGTCTCAAGATATAAAATAAAAGGATATTTCTCAGTGGTAGAATGCTCCTGTGTTCAGTTGCCAGTATGACCCAACACAAAGAAAACTAGAATTACATATTTAGTTCATATTACATTTCTATTGGACAGTAGCAATAGGAAGGCACCTCCTTTAGATCTAACTACCAATTTATAGGAAATATAGGGGGCAGAGGAATGTGCTGAATAACTGTGAAAGGAATAAGTTAAATCTGAACTGAGATAATTACCAGGTCAAATGACCAAATTTTTCTAACAAATCAATGGCATAAAAAAAGAAGAGGAAAAAGAGAGCAGGAGGAAGGTGAAAGGGAGACAAGAGAGTGAGACAAGAATGGTACATTGGCACAAACCATCCACAAGAGCTGCAGTGTCACTCTGCTCACAGGGCTGAAGTGGCTACCTTAGTGTTGGGGGTGAGTCTGGTGCACTCTTTTCCCAGTGTCTCATGGCTAAGTCACTGGGTGCCCCACCCTACCCCTACACTGACCTGGAACAGGTGCTGGAAACTGGAGCACCCCCACAGACGCTGCAGGAGTCACCTTGAGTTGCAGACTGGGGTCAAAGGGCCAGGATAGGGTCACAATTCTTCTACACCAAAGACTCAACCTTGACCTTGGGGTGGGGCATGTGAAAATTCTAGGGCTCAGCTTTCCTTCTTGTGAAACAGGAGAAGAAAACAGTCTAATCACCACCTCTGGGGTGGGGGTGGGAGTGGGAGGAATCTTGATGCAATGTTGGGCACAGGCTATAAGGTCTTTGATAAAGTTCTTGAAGTAAAAACCACGCACAGTATCACTGCTGGGGTGGCGGAGGTGGAAAAGGGCTTGATTTGCGTTCAAAGTTTGCCACCTGTGCAAGTGCTTTCCCAGACATTCTCTCACTTGTGCCTTTCATCTACCCTGAGAGGTATGATGGAATGACTATCTCCATTCGTCAGATGATGAAACTGAGGTCCCAAGAGAGTATGTGACTTGCCCAAGGTCCCATAGCTAGTAAGTGATACAACCAAGATTTAGACCCAGGTGTCCTAAGTCCAAGTCCACCACAGGTCCCTTGCCACGTTCTCTCCACATTGAAAAGCCTGAACTGTTGATGCAGAGTGAAAGCCACCCAGGAACTGCCCTGCTGTTCAGTTACAGCCAAGCCCTCAACACACTGGACATCTTTATCTGACTCTCTCCCCAGCCAGGTTATCTTTGATTCCACTGCACCTAGTATAAGAACGCCATTCAAAGAAGTTTGGTGAATAAAACAAAGGAAAGAAACAAAACATTTAAAATATTAATATGAGCCAGGAGCTGTGGTGTATGCCTGTAATCCTAGCAACTCAGGAAGCTGAGGAAAGAGGATCACAAGTTCTAGACAAGCCTCAGCAACTTAGCAAGGCCTTAAGCAACTTAGTGAGATCCTGTCTCAAAATTAATAAAAGTAAAAGAGCTGGGGATGTGGCTTAGTGGTTAAGTACCCTGAGTTCAATCCCTGGTACAAAAAAAAAATCAATATGGGCCAGGGACTATGGCACATACCTATGATCCCAATGACTTGGGATGCTGAGGCAGGAGGATCAGCCAGCTTCAGCAACTTAGTGAAACCTTGTCTCAAAATAAGAAGTAAAAAGAGGTAGTAATACACCTCAGTGGTACAGCATCCCTGGGTTAAATCTCTAGTACCACATAAGAATGAATAAATGAGTGAATAAATAAGTAATAAGAGAATATTCTGTATCATATAGACAGCAAAATCTTGGCATAGACAAGGGGCCTCTCTAGAGCCTTTTCAGATTTTCAAATCTGTTGTGTCACCTCTGAAACACAGAACCCAGTCCCACCCTTGTCTTCTATACTCCTAGTCCCCCAACTGGGTTAAATAAGGCTATGACCTCCAGCAAATCTCTCAGTCTAAAATAATAATTCTACTATTCCTACTTTAAATAAAGTGTTGCATAAATGTAAAAGATTATCATTCTAATGATTATCTATCCTGTTACCCCCAAAGCCACTTAAGTGAAAACCGAGGCTGGGTGAGGACTTTGGAAAGTAGTAATTAGTCATCTGTTTGAAGATGTGACCTGGGCAGGAGACCTGGTGTGACATGATCTCCTTGGGATGAAAAAAGGAACAGTAATTGCAGCCCTTAGAATCTCTCCCAGAGACTCAGAAAGTGGAAGGCTGAGGAGTCTATCCAGGGTGACTATCCAAGCCCTGGATACCCAGGCTGGGGACATTCACATCAATGCTCAGTTGCCTCTTTTCCAAGCCTAATCAAGTAGCCTGGGATTTATTTCTTTTTCCCATGAACACAGTTACTTTTTTCTTTGCTTTCTTTTCTTTTTAAAAAGAGACAGGGTCCCACCCTGGGGATAAACCTCACTGTAGAGTACTTGCCTAGCATATCTCTGGCTTCAAATGCCAGCACCACAGTGGGAGGGGAGCGAGAGTGAGACAGAGGAAGAGGGAGAGAGAGAGAGAGAAGAAGGAGGGAGAGGAAGAGAGAGACAGGGTTGAGAGCAGTGGCTATTCACTATTAAATATTGCCTGTGGGCACCCAAGGGGCATAGTGGTCTCAAGCCACCTTCTTGCCTCAGCCTCCTGAGTATCCACCATGATATGGCCAGCAACAAAGTTTCTACCAAGGACTTCTTGACTCTATGATCTCTGCTCTGGAGTCATTTCCCATCTCCTTCCAGGCTTCATTTCACACCTAAATCTCCTTAGCTTTTTGATATGGAAAGCAAAATGAATAGCCTGGCCTCTTCCTTAAGCCTTCCAGGATTGTTCCTTGCCTGCTAACCTGACCTTTGTCTCCTTCCTCCCTGCAGGTTGGTCTGCCAGCCCAAATGCTTTCCAGAACTCTTCCAGGAATGTATGCACAAATGATCTGCTTATGTAGCAGTGGGAAGAATGCTGCCAGAGCTGCTGCGCCCAGGAAGCTGGACTCGATTCAGCGCCACCACCACCCCATTCTCTGGTTTGTAACCACAGGGTATCACTTTCTGCAAGCTTGGAGTCTGGGAGGTCCTGAGTAGTTGGGGCTGCAATGAGGGGCCTGCTTGGCCCTCACTGGAAGGCTGATATTCTTCCATATAAGACATGAGTTAATCTACTGAGATTTTGAATATTCTTCCTGCCATACTGAAGTCAACTTTATGGACAATTAAGTTCTTCCCAACCCTGCCTTCAGCAGCCATGTCTAGAGGCAACTCCTTCTAAGGAGTCACATATGGGATCGGGACAGCTGAAAGGAGCTTGAGTCAGGTTTGGTCATGTCCTCCTCCTCCTAACTGCTTTAGCAGAAAGTAAACGGAAGCCCTATACCAGACAAGGTGCTGAGAGGGGCCATGGAATCAGGATGGGACAATCCATCAAACCTATAACTAAGCAGTTTCAACTGAGCAAGTGGACGCCAACACCCATGTTCAACTACTAGGCAAAACCAGTAACTTAGAGGGCAGAGCGAGAACCCAGAAGTCAAAGATTCCTACAGGCCCAACGTGATTCACCAAATCTAAGCACAAAAAGCCCATGAATTCCTCTCCTTGGAGATCTTCCCTCTCAGACTCTGGCCACACATGGTTTAGACATAGTCTTAGTGAACTTGGGTCTTTCCTAATTTTAAAAATCCTTAGCACTGCCAGACACAATGACACACAACTCAGGAGGCTGAGGAAAGAAGATCACAAGTTTGAGGACAACCTGGGCACCTTAGTGAGATACTGACTCTGGTGATGTAGTTCAGTGGTAGAGCACCTCTGGGTTCCACCCCTAGTACCAAAAAGAAAAAAAAAAGCCCTTAGTACTCCATAGATAGGCATCCTGAGAGCCGAGAGAAATGAGACAACTTAGAAGTGGAGACAGAAACTGTGAATAGTCAGAACTCAACAAGCACAGTAGCCCAGACAAGTGGCAGGAGCATCAGTGCAATGCAACGGATGGTGCGTGCCCCTGAGCTCCCAAGAAGAGGGCCCATTACTAATGGCTGACTGTGAGCCCTGCAGGCCATCCCTGGGGGAACACATCAGGCTTTTATCTGGGTCAGACAGGCATAGGGACACATATAAGAAAAACAGAATGGACGCTGGGTGCTATAGAAGGGTAGAACACAGACAATTCTATGCATTTAAACATCGGGCTGGAATCAAATACAAGAATATACAAACGCTCTTGTACTTCTTCTTTTTTTTAAAAAAAATTATTAGTTGTAGATAGACACATTACCTTTGTTTTACTTATTTATTTTTATGTAGTGCTGAGGATTGAACCCAAGGCCTCACACCTGCTAAACAAGTGCTCTACCACTGAGCCACAACCCCAGTCCATCTTGTACTTCTTAAATATCTTGCCAACAAAAAGATAGTTCTTAAAATAGAATGATTTCAAATGTCAGGTAGTATACCCAAGTTTTTGGCAGGTTAAGGATGGCTACCTGGTTTGCAGGTGAGATCTGAAATGGAGCCATGAGGTAAACTACCCAAGTTCAAGGATCACTGAGGTAAATGCCCCCATTTCCCTGTTCACTGGCAGATGCGTATGTTTATGAAGCTCAGAACATTATTTTTAAATTTTTTATAAAAATTTATTCCAGGCTGAGTCTCACTAAATTGCCCAGGCTGGCCTTGAACTTGAGATCCTCTTGACTCTGCCTCCCAGGTAGCTGGGATTACAGGAAAGTGCCAACATGCCCAGCTAGAACATTTTCCTAGACATAGCCACTGTGACCTGGGCCACAGTGCAACTCAAACCCTGTTGTTTGCCAGGGCCCTAACTCTCTGTTCTTTGGAGAAGGTGCCAAGTAAACATGACAGTGGCCAACCAACCCCTGGAATCTTGGTGTCATCTATCCAAATTCCACCAACCACTGTGAAGTCCTCCTCACCTAGACCAACATAATGTTGTCCTGCCTCATGTCTATAGCTGTCTGCACAAGTCATATGGACTCCAGTCCTGGCCCTGTCGTTTCCTGGCTTATAAGTGACCTGGCCTGCCAGTGTTCTTGTCTGTAAATGGGGATAATAAGAGTCATCATGTGATAGCATTGTTCTGAGGGCTAGACCAGGTAATAGAGGTGCTTGGCTCAGTGAATACAAAATAACTCCTGTGTTAGACAACATTTCTGTCATCACAGTTGTTGTAAAGATTGAACAAGATGACAAACGTAATGCACCCATAAAATGCTTGCCTATAGTCGGCCTCTCTAAATAATAGCTATCAGGAAACAATAAAGGTGTTAAACAGAGTACACATACAGTGGATTTTCCCCAGGAAAGGGCTGGAGAAGAGCGTCATAGAGCTCAAAGGATGTTTGTTCTTCCCCTCCTCATAGAACAGATCCCTTCCTGACAGCCTCCCCTGCTCCCCACCCCACCTGCTGCCCCCTCTCACCCTCCCTCATGCTCCTCCAGCCAGGAGATGACCCAGCGCCAGTCATTTCTTCCCTTCCATCCCCAGGACCAATGAAAACAAGACTGAGACCATCGCCCTCTGCCCCTGCTACTCAGCAAGCTTGTCTGTCCCTCCTTTGGTCCAGTTGCAGAAGAAGCATGGGGGTGACTGAGGAAGAGGGAAACTGCCCACCACTGTCTTCACCTCTGGCCTGAGCTTAGGTTGGTCATTGCTATCCCCCAGCCTTCGCTAAAGCTTTCACCACCCTGCCCGCCCCTCCTGCCCCCGTGGGTCACTGGCACCTCACTCACAGCTCGAGGATGAGCACCACATCGGTGCGGTTCTCGTAGACGTCGTGCAGCGTGATGATGTTGGGGTGCAGCACCTGCCGCAGGATGCTCACCTCCCGCTGGATCTCTTCCCGGCACACACCCCGCCGGCTGGCCCGGCTCTGTCGCTTCTTGATGAACTTGGCTGCATACTCCAGTCCTGTGCTCTTCTCCCGGCACTTCTTCACAATGGCAAACTGGCCACTGAAGGAACACAGACACAAACAATTAGGATGTCCTGTGCCCACTGGGGAAGTTACCCCAACTGCCAGCTACTGGGTTACTAATTCAGTCATTCTACCAGAACAGGACAAATTATGCCCTTGGCCAGCATCCCCACCTGGCTGACAACCAGTGACCAAGATGGCACAGGTACTTGGCTTCCCTTCTGTTCATAAATCTTCTACCTTTAACTAGGAATGCATATAAAAATTGTTATCCTGAGTATACAAAGGTGAACACCAAGCCCCTGAAAAGTATTGACTTGATCAGGATGACAGCCTTGTCCTCACAAAGCATCACCTTGCAAAGCTGGCACCCAAGTCTAATCCACCAGATGAAATCACAGTGTTATAAGCAGGTGGTCTTGATAGGTATTCTGGTTGGGGTGGAGGTTGGGGTACAGGCAGCCTGACAAGGGTAATCATCATAGTGGGAGACCATGACAGTGTGACTACAGAGTTATAAAATTAGGAAACTGAGGCACTGGCTTGCCTGAGGTCATCACAGTGTTAATCCCAAACCCAAGCCTCAAAAGTTGGCTGCCTAACCCGCGGTCCACAAAGCCCCTCAGACAGTCACAGGGGTGAAGGCCTGCTCCGTAGCAACTGGGGCTGGGCCTAGGAATCCTTCACTTCATCCTTTCAAGGCAATAACCATGAAAGGGTGCCCATGCAAGAGGGGCAAGTAGCCCTGAGCCAGCTTTTCTAAGTGCTCCAAGGGCAGCCCACCCCCAAGAGAAGGGCAGCAACCTTATGCTTCTCCATCTCTAAGCAGGCCATCAGCAGGGGCAGATCTAAGTCCCTGCAGACTTTCAGTGGCCACACCTCTCATAATCCCTTTTTACTCTGCCCCAGGTTTTCTTGCCACCCCACAAACCCACTGCTTGGGTAACCCAGAAAGTTTTGTTTTGTTTTGTTTTCAGTACTAGATTTTAAATACAAYGGTGCTCTACCCATGAGCCACATCCCCAGCCCTTTTTATATTTGTTTTGAGATGGGCTTTTATCAAATTGCTGAGACCAACCTCAAAGTTGCAGTCCTCCTGCCTCAACCTTCCCAATAGCTGGGATTACTGTCTTGAGCCATCACACCCAGATCAGAAAGTTTTACGGTTCAGCTTAATGGCTTAATAAGGGGCCACCAAACTCCAGACTAAAGAAGTATTCTCTTAGTGGCTCTGGAGTGATGAGATACCCTGGATATTTGTCTCAACCTCAGAAAATAGCGTTACATCTAGACCATTCTATTATTAGAAAAACCCTAAGTCAGATGGTCTTCAAAATAAACTGAGTGACAACAAGAAAGTCATGTTGAGCAAGCAAGGCATAGATACACCAACACTTATACATCATTCTATGGCAAGCACTTTAGAAATGTCACAAACACAGGTTCATGAATGTCTCCTTCCTCATGCCCCATTCACTCAACACTGAGCATCTGCTGTGTGCTGGGCAGTAAGGAGCAGGGACCAAAGGCACAGGCAACAGGTGCAGAGGGAGTTCTGGGGAGAAAGAGGTCCCTGGGGACCGGGCTGGGCATGGAAGGCTTTCTGGAGCCAAATTTATATTGCACTGTCCACTAACTCTAAAGTTTCAGCTATTTAGACCCCAAACATTGGTTCTCAGTTGCCCATACACTAGGGACTGATACAGGTGGAGTGAAGCCAGAGGGAATGCATTCAGCGTGTCTCTAACACTGATGGTCACTAGGAGCTACTTCTGGCCTTGGGGACATTGGGTCCTGAGAGGATGCCAGCAAACACTTGACAAACCTTCTGGTTCCAGACGGCTGTGAGCCTTGGTGGCAGCGCAGCCACACTCCTCTTCTTCTGATGCCTCAAGAGGCTACTGGCATTTCAGAGTTCTTGTGGCCTTGTCACAGCAGCCCTGAGTTTCTACTTGTCTGATGGAGAACATGAAGCTGAACGATTTTAAGTGGGCTGTTCAAGCTCACAGAGCATGCAGGTGGTAGCGCCAAGTCCCCCATCTCCCAATCCCAAGCTGTTTTGACTACATTAGGGTTTGGGAAGGGCAAAAAGCAATTTTGTCAAGTAGAGCTACAGGTTTTAGGTCACCTTGACATAGCCTACTCTTTGTCTTATGAGGGGAACAGAGACATTTTTCTATGTCACATGCCTGAAAAATTCCTCAAACTCTCAAAAAGCAAATGAGTGTTTGCTTTTCCCTCTTGAGTTTATTCCTTGTGAGAGCAGCATTGCACGGGGAGATGACTGGGCAGGCTTAATCTCCCTCCAAAGAAAGTATTTTGAGAGTGGGTGACTAAGAGGAGCCAAATACCAAGCCACACCTTGCATCTCACCTCTCCTCACTGGGGAAAGACCCTGTGCTCAACCTGCTGTGGGGAATCTCAGGGAGGGCAAAGACAGCTGGCTGGTTTACCTCTTCTGATTGAGCCATTTAGGGAAGAGAGAACACCCTTCTCCAGGGCCATGCCCCAAGCCCCCATAATGGAGATTGATCAACAATATCAGTCTTCAAGATCAGAGAGGCATGGCCTTAGGAACTTATTTATGCTATCACATGGTTCAGGTTGCTACCTGCTCTGAACATCAGTTTCTTTATCTGTAAAATAGGAATCATGATTCCTTGGCTAGATAATTATGAAGATTGAAAATAYTTATAATGTTGGCCCAGCATCAGCATAACCACTAGCTCAGGTGAAAGCTGAGCACAGGCACCTATAGCCCAAAGTCACTGATTCAAATGGTCTGGAATGTATGGCTAAGAAATTGGCATAATTTTAAAAGAACCCCTCCCCCATGATTCCAGAAAATAGCCAGATGTGGAATATCCCTGTCCCCCCGCTCCCCCCACCCCCGCCGCCAGTACAGGGACTAGAAACCAGAGGGCACTCTACCAATGAGTTACACCCCAAAGACTTTTTGGTTTTTGAGACAGAGCCTCACTATGTTGCTGAGGCTGGTCTTGAACTTGAGATCCTCTTGCTTCAGCCTCTCAAGTAGCTGGGATTACAAATGTGTCCTACTACACTTTGCAGGGATATCTCTGTTCTAAACAATTAGCCAACTCTTTGATCCTAGTGCACTTGTTCTCAGCCTTGGTGGCATATTGGAATCCCCTGAAAACTTTAAAACTCCTGGGGTCTAGGTCTCAGCCTGGAGATTCTGAGCTCCTAGCTCTTAGCTACAGCCTGGAGATAGAGATATTTAAAAGCTCTCTGGTAACTCATGAGCAGCCAGGGCTGAGAACCACTGACTTACAATAGCCCTCTATCTCCGTTTCACACATGAAGAAACCACACCATTGTTACTCTTATCATTTCTGTCATTTGCAATCTTATACATCTACCTACAGCATTCTTTGATCTTTAAGGGAAGTAGAGGGAATCAGAAGGAGCATCTCTCCCATTAGCATTTTTTTTAAACTAAGGATGTACCCAGAGACTCGCACATACCAGGTAAGCACTGAGTTATATCCCAAGCCCTTTTTTATTTTTTATTTTAAGACAGTCTTACTAAGTTGTCTAAGCTGGACTCAAATATACAATCCTCTTGACTCAGCCTTGAAAGTAGCTGAGCTGGGATTATAGGCATGCACCACCTCCTTCAGCTCACCAGCAGTTTTTGCTTGAGAGGGTCAGCAATAAAATTACGGTGGTATTCATTCACAATCTATGACAGATTGCCTAGGCCACAGGGGTTAAGAGAAGTGGAATTTTGCAGTGGACTACCCCATAACCATTGTACTCCTGACAGATTCAGAAAAGCTGAACCTGACATGGCCCTATTACCCAGTCAGAGTGCACCAGCAAACCTAAGGGCAGGTAAAGAGAGTAATGGTGACAGGCATTTGTCTGTCCACCAGAGAGGCTCTGCAGCCAGATGGTGAGGCCCCACAGTATGGAAGCCAACTAGATGGGCTATGAGGGAGACAGGTAGGTGGTAAGGGCTTCTCTTAGGAGAGTGACACCCAGGGAATCATGTAGGAAGGGAGCAGAGGAGAGACAGACAACCTCTAATGATTGTCATTGCCAACACTAATTCAAAAATTATGGGAAGAAATAGGGCTGGGTATGTAGCTTAGTGATCAGTATTTATCTAGTATGCATAAGAGTCTGGGTTCAATCTCCCCAACCCCCTCCCATCCCCTTCCCCATCTGCACAAAAAGAGTTTCATAGGTATGGATAAGGAATTGCCTTCTCAGTTCATATCTCTCCCTCTGTCACCTGAAAAAGCTTCCTATCAGAAAATTCCAAAAAGCCTGTGACAACTCTGAACAGAAATGAAAGTTTCCATTTCACTCTTCAAATTTCTGTCTTTGGGCTGGCATCAGGAGATATAGGTTCTAGTCAGAGACCTTCCATTAACCAGCTGTGACCCTGAGTAGCCTGTGCAGGCCCCTGGGCCTTAGTTTCCACCCTTGTCAAATGGAGACAATAAAACCTGTTCTGCCCATCTCCCAGGGTTGTTTGGGAAATCATGAGATCATGTCTGAGAAGGAACTTTGCCATCCAGCTGCAGGAAAGCCAGGAGGTGTGGACAGGTGGGAACTTAGTGCCTGAGGCTGACTTGCAAAGTCATGTAAGAAGGTTTAGCAAAGGACAGTAAATCCTCAAGACACAGAAACTATCTTGCCTACTCTGCCATTACGTTCTCTTGAAATTCTGTTAAGAACATGCCTCTCTGAGAAGGCTCAGCTCCTCACTCACTCAGCACTTGGGAAGACAGAGTGGGACTGGGTGGAGATTAGGTTGAAGGCAAATGTACTTGCATCTAAATTTGGCAGGGTCTAGGTTGGCACCTCACACAGGTTCTCCTGTTGTCTGCCTAGGAACTGCACAAAACAAGTACACCTAGAACACCCTGTCAGTTCTCAGAAATGTCCCAACCCCAGCTCCTAAACTGCATGGAAGAGCTTTACTCAATCCTCCCAAATTCTTCACTGTGAAGTGGGAATAACCTTGAAATGACCCAAATGTCACACTATGGGATAGCTCTGCAT